TCTTTGGTACTCTATATGTCACTGTGCATTCATTTATAACTTTATAGAGCTCGGATTTCCTGCTTAAAATGTGACAACAACTGTAGAGTTTCCACATTTTTGCAACAATCCACATGCCTTTCATACACTATTGCACATTTTCGTAAGCACCTTACAAAATCTGTATATTTCCGTAAGACCTTACATTCTGCATTTTCCTTATGAAAGCTTCTGTACACTCCATACACTTTCCTTATTCTTCCATATCTTCCATCATGAACTCTCCGTATGCTCCATAAGTTTCCTTATCTTTCCTTATCCTTCCATATACTCCATAAAAAGCTTTCCATATATGCCATACATTTTCCTTATCTTTCCGTATACTCCATATAAAGCTTTCCGTATACGCCATACAATTTCCTTATCCTTCCTTATACTCCATAAGAAGCTTTCCGTAGATGCCATACAACTTCCGTATATTTCCATAAAACTCCATATTTTTTCCGTATGTAGCATAAGGAAATGGTACGGAGTCCGTATATTTTCCGTAAGATTTCATACGGAACATTTCAGTAGGGCACTGCCCAGCCTGGCTGTTCCATCGCAGGCCCGTGGTCATCATAGCCTCAACCCACGCCACCGTCACTCACCGCCAAGCCCTGCAGCACGCTAGTACCCCTGGCCGCAACACCTCCATAATCAAGGACGCTCCTTCAGAGATACGCTCGCCGGTACCAGCGACACGACCTTGGAGGCTACCCCTCGTCCTACAACGAGTGCGCTCGTCCACGCCCGGACTGCAGCACGCGACGTGCACTCTGTTTACAGCCTGTGCACGGGGGGCTGTTGCTGCCTGCCACCGCAACTCTCTGGGGGCACTGCGAGTTTGACTTTCGCTTTTCCGCTCTCGGGGAGCCGCTGAGCCGTTCACTCAAGAGAGTCTTGGCGCACTCGTTATTATAGGCATTTTGTTGAATGGCTACTTCTCTTACATGGAGTTAAAAACCGTGTTTTCTGCTGTGACCACTACAGGCCAACAAATGAATTAATCTTACCGTTTTCTCTCTCTTCGGGGAACCAGTAGAGAAGGCTTGAACCATTGCATTTAGTGCGCAGAAGGGATCGCGCGTACCATCAGCGGTGAACGGTTGTAATATTTGTTACCGACCGGTGCAAAAATAAAACAAGTCAACAAGACATTTCAGTAAAAAAGTAGGTTTAGGAAGCATTTATTTTCATCCTATAGGCGAGAGAATTTCATAATACTTGATAATATAAAAAACGCACTATTCTTTTTGTGACATTAACTAAATCTGACACTAGAAAACATTTGAATGCATCCATTCAATCTGGTCTCTTTGCACTAACCGGACTGCACGAGATAAATGCAGAACGTTTGAGAACCCTTATAACATCGCACATACTCTAAATAACTAAAAGCAATAACTGGTGCACTACAATAAACTCTAAAACTGGGTAAACTGGTGTGCGCACAAAAAAAACAGACAAACGACAGCAGAGAAGAGACAGGGACAAGCGCAGACTTTCAACTAAATTTAATTCTTCGTCAACCTTCAATTTACAGTCGCACAGAACATAGTCAAGTGGTCACGAGGACAGAACCTAATAGTTTACAACAGGCCACGCAAAAAATGACGCTCACTATCAAAAAGCGAAATGGATGTATCACTAACACAGGTATTACCTCTAGCAGAAATATAAAACGCTTCCATCAGTTCCCGGGCTGTGGTATCAGCACTCCGACCCAAAAATAGTGAGCGTCATTTTTTGCGTGGCCTGTTGTAAACTATTAGGTTCTGTCCTCGTGACCACTTGACTATGTTCTGTGCGACTGTAAATTGAAGGTTGACGAAGAATTAAATTTAGTTGAAAGTCTGCGCTTGTCCCTGTCTCTTCTCTGCTGTCGTTTGTCTGTTTTTTTTGTGCGCACACCAGTTTACCCAGTATTATGAACCAACTCGCCCAGCTACAAGTTTTATTAAACTCTAAAACACTGTCGTGAAACTCAATTCCAAAAACTGTCGTTTACAGCCTTTAATGCATCAGCCCCAGGCAGCACACTGGCGTTGAACCAATCTTGGTCCCGTAGCGGCTAACGTCAGCCGCAATATTGCACCAAGGTCGACATCTCGGTTAAGTGCAGCTTCTTCTGATGTAGAACAGATGTTCATGCCGACCAGGGCCCGACGTTCAGCCGTTCATATGCCAATATCTAGCCGACGCTGGCCCACTCTACACATGCCAATGAAGGCCCGTCCTTTCACCGGCGTAGTTGCCCACCATAAATCCAGCATGGGAGCATTCTCGGGCCACTTTGATGCCACTAAAGTGCCTTTATATGCCATCATTTGCTCTACGACGAATATCGGCTACCATTGGCTTGCCAATATTCCACCGTTATTATTATGGGCTTCTTTCTAGTGGCATTCCTCAGCAGTGAAACTTCACATTACGCCCCTGGAACTTCCCCTAGCAGCTTATAGCAGCCCCGTACGAGCTTCACGCTGTAGTATACTTCAAGGCGACTGACCATTGAATGACTAGTGTGGAAACAATAGACCATTCCACTAAATCGTCCATTTTCGGCTTTTTTTTGCATTTCCTATTACCCTCCCTTCACGTAGACCATAAAACTGCACAAGTCTAGTTACTTTCTAGTTTTCTATACAAATTCCCTTTTGGTTTAGCGAGAAATTGTAAAATAGGCTGTTCCACCAAGTATTAGCTAAAAAAATAACTAAAACAACTGCTCAGTGCAAGTATTCCGCACACAAGCAATCTCTAAATAAGAATACCAGAACCCAATTTTTGTAACATTATTTCTGAATATACCAAGTCAAACCATTTATTTTTCAGTTCAGCTTTTCAAGTTACTGCTGTTCAGTAATGCAGCCCAAACTAAGAGGCAAGTTCCGCAAGGCTCTATGGGCATAGTGCTGGTGAACTATTCTGCAGCTATATCCTATGGCTGTATAAATTTATAATGGAACATTGAGACGCACGACTGCGCGAACTTTAACCTCTGGATTATTCTTGAACGCACATAAGCTAACACTGCACAAGAGGATGACGGACCACAAGATAGACAACACAAGATGAAAGAATTTATGCAAACCCAAGTTCAGCACCAACACTTGTGGATTATTGCAAGGCTCCTGTATTAATTTTAATATGGTATCTCCAGATGCTATGAAAGATGTGCTGATGTGGTTTTCTATGTTATTTTCGCATTAAATAAACCTCTGAAATTTCACGTGCTTTTTGAGACTTGCACTGATCCATGCATTTTCCATGCATTTTTCACTTGCATTGATCCATACATTTTCACGTGCATTTTTTAAACTTGCATTGTTTCATAGGAGACCAAGACAGGATAAGTGACTCACCGAAAAAACAGCACTTGGCAGAGAGTCGCAACAAAACTGAGCCATTCGCGCCCAGACGACCAACTGCAGAGAGAGCACGCAGGCGTTGTGCTGCCGCGTTTCATTTTGGAACGAACAGCTCTAAAAGCCATTGCGCCAGTAATACTGCACTGTGGTTTAAAAAAAAACTGTCTGAAGGCTATTCTCACATAAATAGCACTTGAAAACGAACAGAAGCTCTGCAAAGCGGACTGCATCTATGCATTTGACATTGAAGAGCCAGTGTGGTGCAGTGATGGCAACTTCCTCGTGATCATTTTCTGGTTGGGATTTTCTGCTATGGAAGTACCGTATTTTATGCCCGTGTGGTGACGATACTACACTGCGCACTTCTGTAGTAAAAAAAACGAATAAGTAGTGGCTGCGGCATCACTTTTTTTTTCTGGTGGCATATGTACACCCTGTCTGCGGTATGTACGTACGTGGACGTTGATCAAGCACGCCACTGTGACAGCATAGCAAGGGTGGTGTCGCGGTCTTATGCTAGATAGCGCGGGATAGAGCTCCGACCACAATGGCTGCATTTCGATGGGGACGAAATATAAGAACACCCGTGAACCAAAAGATACGTGCGCATTGGAGAACCTCAAGCGGTCACGATCTTGGTACGCACTCTACAGCGTGCCTCAGAATGATATCTTGCTGGCACATTAAAGCCTAGCAATTATCGATGTTGAACAGACATGTTTATTTTAGGCCGACAGAGGCAAGCGGAAAAAATAAACTGTGTGTTAGGTGAACCAAACAACAAGTAAACATCGAATACATTTGATACTTCTTTAGCAACGCATAAATTTCAATGTTACTCAGCCACGGCAGCAAGTGAGAAAAACGCTTACCGTATTGGATGGCTCCGTAAAGCTGAGCCTTGAGTAGTCCACTTCTTTGTTCTTAACAAGAACCCTGTCTTTTGCACAAATAAATTAAACCGAGGCACTTCGGCATCGAGTTTTCACCGAAAGAGTATCTTTTATAACATCTCAGAGGCGTATTAACGTGGCCCCACACAAGTGTTGTTGGCAACGCAGTTACCTGCCTCTCGTTCCGTTCACTTGACGCGATGGCACCAGATAGAGTTTGGTGGTGAAAGTCAAATGAACGGACGCATGGAAACTTCGTTATTCTTGAAGTTCACTACTCAACGCTCAGCAGGCCAGACAAAGAAAAAGTTTACGATGCCGTTTGTTGCATAATATGTTCGTTTCATTTCCGGCAAAACACAGTTTAAACTCGATTGTTTGGCCCTGGTTTCTACTGATGGCTGTCTTTTTTTTTTTTTTTATTCAAGTACCCTAAAGGCCTGGGTAGGCATTACATAGGGGAGTTGTAGCACAATAAAGCTGTTACAATTACAGTGTATAATTTGAATAACAAATACAAACGATTGATATAAATATGCACATACATATGTAGAGATATTATTACTTAACAGTACAGAGATGCTACGTGGAGGAATAAAGAAAGTACTACTAAAAAGAAACAAAAAAAAAAGAAAGAACAGGACAACAAAACTCTAAGGAAAATTTTCGCAGTGTTCAAAACAACAAAAGGATGCAAAGAAAGGATAATTCACGTTCATTGAAATACCGCGTACAAGAACAACGACAACAAGTACAACAAAACAGATATGCACAAGAACAATATTAACTTCATTAAAATACTTTTAAGTTTATTCATGAAATCTTCATGATTTTGGGAAGAAACGACGTCGGCAGGTAGCTTGTTCCAGTGATATATTGCGAGAAAGAGGGGGGATTTACTTAAGAAGTTTGTTCGAGCAAAAACGGGTTGTACTTTAAAGGGATGATCCAGGCGCGGAAAGATACGATGGGCGGCCGTGATGTGGCGTACGCGGAACGATGATGATGAGTGATAAAGTTTGTGGAAATGAGATAGAAGTGCTATGATTCTTCTATTCTCTAGGGTGCTTAGATTCAGAGATTTTTTTAGGTTAGTTATGCTTGATGTTCGTGAATAATCTTTGGTAATGAAGCGGGTTGCTTTATTTTGAATTGCTTCGAGTTTGTTGATGAGATAAGACTGGTGCGGGTTCCAAATAAAAGATGCATATTCTAGTTTTGCGCGAACCAACGTCGCATAGGCCAATAATTTAGTAGACTTGTTTGCCAAATAAAGGTTACGCCTGATAAAACCAAGAGTTTTGCATGCACTGCTACAGATTGCTTCGATGTGGTCACTCCATGAAATGTTAGAAGATAAATGAACTCCCAAGTATTTTATTGTATGCGCACGCGCGATGACTGAGTCATTTATCAAATAATGAGTAAGCTTAGGATTAGACACTCTAGTGAAGGCTACAGCCTTAGTTTTCGAAGTATTTATCTCCATTTGCCACTGTTCACACCAAACTGCAATTTTCGCAAGGTCAGATTGCAAAGCGTCACTATCAGAGGTGGTAGTTATTCGTCTATAAATTACGCAGTCATCTGCGAATAATCGAACTGTAGATGAAATGCTATTGCTGATGTCATTTACATACAACAGGAATAAAATAGGCCCCAATACAGAGCCCTGAGGCACCCCTGACTTGACCAGTGATCGTGAGGAAGAAAATTCATTGGCAGTTACAATTGGTACCTGTCGGTTAAGAAATTCCTTATCCAATTCACAACCTGACTATGTATATTAAAATAGCGAAGTTTTTGTAATAAACGGTTATGAGCTACCTTATCGAACGCCTTGGCGAAGTCGATAAATATGGCATCTATTTGCGATGAGTCATTAACAGCTTCGTAAATGTCAGAGACCAGCTCGAATAACTGCGTCTCGCAGGAGCGACCCTGTTGAAAGCCGTGCTGGTTGCTGAAAAGATGGTTGTGCTTTGTTAGGTACTTCATGATTGCCGATGATATGATATGCTCTAATAATTTACATGGTATACTGGTCAGCGAGATTGGTCTGTAGTTGGTGACAGATGACGGGTCTCCGGATTTAAAAATTGGTACTATTTTAGAAACTTTCCATCCGTCAGGAACGCATCCTGACTGAATCGATTGCTGGAAAAGGCATGCAAAAATGGGAGAAATAACAGGTTTAGTTAACTTTAGCAGTTTAGGACAAATACCATCTGGACCAGGAGCAGAGCTGCTAGAAAGACGATCAATAGCAGCTTCGATTCCCTTTTCAGTGATCACGATGTCCTCCATGATGGAGGTAACGGAGCCGAGGTGAATATTGTCGGTAATAGGAAGCTCACGAGAAAAAAACAGAACAAAAGAAGGAATTGAACGCAGTAGCGACTTCAGAGGGCGGGAGGAACTCGTTGCCTTGCATTATCGATATGAAACATGAAGACGACGGCTTGGGGTTTATTACTTTCCAGAATTTTTTTGTGTTGACAGTTAACATGTTGGAGATGTCATGGTTGAAAATTTGTCTTTTGCTGCCTCAATTTCGGTTTTGCATAACTGCGACTGTTCGCGATAAGCCTTCCAGGCATCGTCAGATTGCAAGGTTTTAGCTCTTGAATAAAAGCGCTTCTTCTTGTTAATGCATCGCTTCACGTGGGAGGTAACCAAGCGCTCCCTGTAGACACAGATATGTTGTATTTTTGGAATGTATTTTTCTTTGAGTTCGATTAGCTTGTGACAGACGATCATCCAGTTCTCATTGCTGTCGCGATGCTGCATGCCGTTGAAAAATTCTACGCAAAAGGACGAGAGTTCGCTATAGATCATTTCAACATCTGCACGTGCGTAATCATAAATTGTTTTCTTTTCATTCACGCTTTCTTTACGCGTTAACTTGAATTCACAATGGATGACATTATGGTCACTGAGACATGTTTGACGGTTCGGTGGTAAGCACAAGATCCAAGATAGCATCCCCCCGTGTTGGCATAGAAACTATTTGGCTTAAACCGTAAGACGAAATCACGTCAAGAAAGTCCTTACATTCAGCTATCCTTGCGCCGCTATCGGCTGTGCCCGTCCGCCAGTTAATTCCAGGATAGTTAAAGTCGCCCGCGAGAATCACAGGAGAGCCAGGAAATCTGTCATATACGAATTTTATAGCAGACACGTGCCATCCGGTTTAGAAACGAGCCCGACAGCATCAGAAAGAAGAGCGAGAGCAGAACTTTGCTTGGCTGACCACTTAGATGCAACGCTGCCTCCTCTTTCTACGTTCTCCCTTTCCTCTATACGTCCTTCTTTTTACATACTGTTGCACTTGAATGCGCAGCATTACCACCAGCGCCCTTTGTTTTTGTTTTTTAGAGAAATATATTTCCTTAGTGCGCAGGTAACGTTTATGAAGGAAGATATAATATTTGAAACACGGTTTATTGGCGTAAGTAGTATATTTGTACAGCAGGTCTATTGATACGGCAAGTGGGCGGCAGCAACCGCCACAGAAATCGCAGCGCTCGGGGCCACAGCTCGCGCTTGGCTCCTGTCGATAAAAGCATGACCCACTGCATCACATAATCTTCTTCCTCTCTACAATACCCCGGCGACGAAGACGATTCATCTTGGCAAGTCAAGGTGACAAGATTAGGAGTGGGTCGTGATAGAGCTTAAGACAACTCACGTGGACAGTCTCACAACCAAGGCGTCGCCTGTCTGTAGATGGGGTGACCAGCTCGATCACGTATAGGGACATTAGATCGACGTTCGACGACGTGATAAGGACCGTGAAACTTGGGGGCAAATTTGGAGGACAGACCTGGGGAGCGGAAGAGCAGTCGGAGCCAGATGAGCAAGCCCGCGGCGAAAGTCTCGACTTTCTGGTCATGGTCATGGCGGTCTTTTTTGAGTGCTTGCTTTTCCGAGGTGAATGATCGGGCCAACTGACGACACTTTTCAGCGTGGTGCACAATTTCAGAAAGAGGGTTAAACTCTGAGACGTCGGGACGATACGGCCAAATGGTGTCAAGGGTGGAGCACAGCTCACACCCATATAAATGAAAGGCGAAAAGCATGTGGTTGACTGCGTCGTGGTGTTGTACGCAAAGGTCACAGATGGGGAATAACATCCCAGTTCGATTGGTCGGAATCGACATACATGGGGAGCATGTCTCCTAGCGTTTGGTTGAAGCGCTCAGTTAGACCAATGGTCTGCGGGTGGTAAGCTGTAGAGGTGCGGTGAACCGCGCGGCATGCCCGAAGGAGTTGCAAAACTTAAAATAAAAAGACACACCCTCGACCACTCAGTAGTTCACGTGGTGCCCCATCACGCAGTACGAAGCGTCGCAAGACAAAATTGGCTACGTTACGTGCACCAGCCGTAGGTAGTGGAGCTGTTTCAGCATACCTCGTCAGATGGTCGACAGCCACAATGATCCATCGATTTCCTGTGGCAGTGAATTGAAGGAACCATATACATCGATTCCAACGCGGTCAAAAAAGCGCGCCGAACATGGTAGAGGCTGTAATATTCCGGCTGAATGGGGCGCTGTCTTTCGCCGTTGGCATAAAGAACATGACCGAACTTATTCTTGTACAAAGGTGTACATAACACGCCAGTAGTAATGCTGGTGGCTCCGGTGATAAGTTTTTAACACACGAGCGTGAGCATGTTGTAGGTCAGCGTGAAAATACGCACAAACATCAGATCACATGTGCCGTGGTATAACCAAGAGCCATTTACGACCATCCGCGTGGTAGTTTCTGCAGTACAGTTGCGCGTCCCGTATCTCGATATTTGTGGCTTCGCGGCAAAGAGCGTGTGGGTATGCAGACGTTGAGGAGTCGAAAATAATGTTAAAGAGAGAAGTTATCCATGGGTATTTCCGCTGTTCAGACGACATGCTTATGACGGAGATGGAAGCGATGGGGAAGTTTGCGTTCGAATGCAGGTCTGCGCTGGATTTCAGTGGTGATCGTGAGAGGGCGTCCGCATCAGAGTGTTTTCGACATTCGTTTCGACAAAACGAATGTCGAATTCTTGTAGGTGAAGAACCCAACGTGCAAGGCGGCCTGAAGGATCTTTTAGCGATGCGAACCAAGAAAGTGCGTGGTGGTCTGTTACAACGTTGAAACTCTGTCCGTACAAGTAAGGACGAAACTTGCTTAACGCCCAAACCGTTGCGAGGCATTCGTTCTCAGTTACTGAGTAGTTCATTTCTGCTTTCGTGAGTGCGCGACTTGCATATACGACGACGTACTCTAGAATACGGGGATTTTGTTGCGCGAGTACTGTTCCCAGGCCAACGCCACTGGCGTCTGTGTGCACTTCAGTGGGGGCACTTGGTCGTAATGGCGTAGAATGGGTGGGGACGTGAGCAGGCGGCGCTGTGTAAGGAAGGCTTCGTCACATGCTGGGGTCCAGTTAGAAAGATTAGCTGGACCATTCAGTAGTTCTGTAAGTGGAGCTATTATTGATGCAATGTTGTGGACGAAACGGCAAAAGTACGAGCACAAGCCGATGAAGCTCCAAGGTTCTTTTAGTGAAGTAGGATTCTGAAAGTAGGCTACGGCTCGAAGTTTGTCCGGGTCGGGGCAAATCCTATCCTTTGACACAACATAACCAAGTATAGTAAGTTGGCGAGCCCCGAACCGGCACTTCTTAATTGTGCGCAGATGGTCGACGTAGGTAGAGAAATCAGGAGAGAATACGATAACATCATCAAGGTAACATAAGCATATCTGCCATTTAAGGCCGCGTAAAATGCTGTCCGTCATTCGTTCAAACGTTGCAGGTGCATTGCACAGACCGAATGGCATAACTGTGAATTCGTATAGGCCATCTGGCATAAACAACGCTGTTTTTGGACGGTCACATTCTGCCATCGGAACCTGCCAGTAACCTGAACGTAAGTTCAATGAAGAAAAGAATTCCGCACCTCGTCGGCAATCGATAGCGTCGTCAATGCGGTGAATGGGGTATACGTCTTTCCGTGTAATTTAGTTCAGTCGCCGGTAGTCGACACCAAATCTAATCGAACCGCCCCGTTTCTTCACTAGCCTAACAGGTGAAGATCAAGGGCTAGAAGATGGCGTGATGACACCGCGCCGAAACATATCGTCCACCTGCTCTGCATTTACAATTCGTTCCTTGGGTGATACGCGCAGGGGCGTTGCCGCAAAGGAGGTTGCGCTCCAGTGTAGATTGTGTGAGCGACGTCGTTAGTGTGACTCAGTGCCTTTTGAAGAAGGTAAAATGAATTTCGGAATTTATGCAAAAGGGTTATTAGCTGGTCCCGTTGATCCGGAGAAAGCTTGCTGTCGATGGAGCGACTGAAGATATCCGAGGAGTAGTCATCTCGCGTAAACAGAGGAGTAACAGCGTTCAGTTGAAGTTGCTGGCTAGGGTCGTGGGACTCAATAGGCACAATAACATTTACATCAACAGGAAGAACATAGCCCAGTGTTTCCTGAGCTCTTAGAGTGAGAG